CGAGCTTTGTTTTCATTTGAATTAATAGTTGGATTGGCCTAAGCTGATGCTCTTATCCTAGTATTCTGAACATTTGGTCATATGATAGAATTAATAAAAGATTAATTTCTCAATGAATTTGGAGTCGTTAAGTTGAATGTTGAAGGTTCTTGTCAATAATTTCTGGCGTTTATTTAACTTGATGGTTATCTGATTGTAAATTTGATCTCCAAGTTTATTGGTTGGAAGTAAAGTACGGTAGTCTGTAACTAAATATTCAAACTAGTCTCTGAAATTTGTAGTAGACGCATGTGAAGTTTTGTTATAGTTTGGTTACGTTCATGTTTTAATCTTCTCCTAAGACTCGATGAATTTATAGTCACCACTCTCATCAATATACAGTCACGTTAGCTCGAAGTTTTAAAATTCCACGAAAGTAAATCAACTCGGTAGACATCTGGTTGATAACTGCTCTCTTCTTTGATAATATTTGTTAATTGCATCAATCTTCCGACCTCCGGCTAGGTTTATATATTCTGAAGATTTGGTCATATCATAGAATGAACAAAAGATTAATTTCTCAATGAATTTGGAGTCGTTAAGTTGAATGTTGAAGGTTCTTGTCAATAATTTCTGGCCTTTATTTAACTTGTTGGTTATCTTGATTGTAGATTTGATCTCCAAGTTTATTGGTTTGAAGTAAAGTACTGTAATCTGTAACTAAATATTCAAACAATTCTCTGAAATTTGTAGTGGACGCATGTGAAGTTTTGTTATAGTTTGGTTACGTTCATGTTTTAATCTTCTCCTAAGAGTCGATGAATTTATAGTCACCACTCACATATACAGTCACGCTAGGTCGAAGTTTTAAAATTTTACGGAAGTAAGTCAACTTGGTAGACATCTGTTGATAACTGCTCTCTTCTTTGGTAATTTTTGTTTATTGAATCAATCTTCCGACCTCCGGCTATGTTTATATCATGCTAGAAACAAATGATTCTTTGAATTGGTATTTTAGATTAAGCTGTCTGTTAGTTTTCTCACTTGCAACAAATAAGAATACTTCATAGTAATTGATTTTCAGACTCTGCAGGTCGTATTAGGTGGTCTAAGATTGTGGCACCTCTGAAAGACCTTCCTTCTGTAAAGTCAACAACTGTAACACACTACGATCACACAAATGATCCATGTTTCAAGCAACGGTTTAGTAAATCAGAAGAAGAGCAAACTTCTGTGGTTAAGACAAATCTTGTGCCGCCTTACTTGAAGCGGAGTGGATTTATTCCCCGGAAAGTAGAGGATTTTGGAAATGGTGCATTCCTAGAGATTCACGTTGCTCCATACCCCCTTGACATGGTAGAGACAAATCATCAAAAGCCTGGATCAAAGATCCTTCCTGTTACTGTGGATGATCATGGAAATGTTGCAGATGATGCTATCGTCAAACTGAACGAAACATGAAGACCTCATTCCAAAGATCTTGAAAAATGATGAAGATGAGGGATTGCAGAGAGAGATAGAAGAAACAGCCTAGGAAACGAAGTCTGCCCTTGAAGAGTTGGTGAACGTAAGATTAAGTGCAGCTCTGCCTAAAAAAGTAGCCAAACAATCATCAGATTCGAAGTTTATTAAGTCATCTCAGCAATCGGCAGCGTTTAATTCAGGCGCCAAAGAGAGAATCATTAGAATTTGAAATTGAGCCAGTTGATCCACTCGAGCCTCCAAAGTTCAAACATAAGTGTGTTCCTTGAGCTTTTGGGTCTCCACCGGTGCCTGTCATGCATTCCCCTCGTCCTGTCACTGTGTGAAGGATCAGCAGGACTGGAAGATTCCTCCCTTTTATTTGAAATTGGAAGAATCCGAAAGAAGTGAGTGTCTTGCAGCTGATAGGAGAGACCTTCAAGAAGTTCAAATCAATAACAATTTTTCAAAGCTATCTGAAGCATTGTATGTTGCCGAACAGAAAGCATGAGAAGAAGTTGCAATGAGATCTAAGGTTCAGAAAGAAATGTTTATGAAGCAGAAGGAGAAGGAGTCAGAGCTTCGAGCGCTAGCTCAAAAGGCTCGGTCTGAGAGCACTGGAGCTGCCCCTGCTTCTGCAGCTCCTTATCCATCAGAGAGAAAGAGAGGTCGAAGAAGCCGATCCGTTTGGACTTGATCAGTTCTTGACCAGTGAAGAAAGGTAAGAAAGCTATGGATAAAGTTGGCAGTGGTGGAATGAGAGCGAGTGGTGGCTCATCGACATGTGATGGCTACGATGGTGGCTCCGGTAGAACTCTTATTGGATTCGAAAGAAGGCAGTAGAGGTACAATGCAAGGTACCAACTGAAACTGCTTCTGAATTGCAAGTTATATTTGTTTGCTTCTTTTATTGATTGCTATTTAATTATATGTCTTTCTTTTTTCTATTGCATTGGAAGATCCCTCGCTCATTTGGATTAAGTTTTTCGCTGCGACAGGTGGAAAAGTTGGGATCCTGATCGGGAGGACACTTTTGGGCGAAAATGAGCCAAATTTTCCACATATACCTTAAGGAGGTGACATTTTTGTTTAATGTTCTCTTTACTTGATCTGCCGATACTCTCATTTGATGAATCACTGATTCATGCATTTTCTTGAATTTCTATAATTATTATTTGTTTTTTTTTTTAAATTTGGAAATTTTCATTTTATGTACATGTTTTCTCTGGAATTTGCATGCATTTGTGCTTTCAAATAGAATGAATCTGACCTGAATTTACTTGGGAAAATTTCATGGAAATTTGTAGTATGCCCTTTTTCTTGATATGCTAGTCAATCGATTAAACTGATAATATTGGAATTGCAAATTGGGCTTTTTTTTTTATAAAAAAAAAGGAAAATTATTGAGAAACATTTGAGATTTGAATGTCATCATTTGTTTCCACATTGTTGCCTTCTTCAGCATTTGTTTCCACATTTGTTTCCACATATCCTTCACGGATCCTTTTAATTAACAACGCCCTTCTTTAGGACAGTTTCGTATCTTCCGGAATCATTGGCTTTTGAGGGCGAGGATGTCGGCAGGTATTCTCATTCACCCACTCCAATACAAATGTTAAACAAATTTACGTTTAACTACCGTCTTCCTTTTGGTGATCCACTCTAAAATTTGTGCTATAGTATGCATGTATGTATTAATTTTCCATTTACAACTTTTCTTTCCAATTTTTTTAACAGTTAATTTTATAAAAATACCCTTACATTTAACTTCAAACTTTGAAACTTGCAAAAGAATTTATAAATATCCAAAGTTTAAATTTTTATAATATTTTTAAAAAGTCACCAATATTATATAGATGAAACTTTTAACCATAAAACATTTAAATTTTTTAAGGGTGTTAATATTATTTTTAAAAGTTTAGAAGTTATTTTTAGAACTTTTTTAAAAATGGGTACTTTTGAGATAAAAATGCAAGATTAAGATTTAGCTTCTTTTTTTTTTAACCATTTCAAGTAATTGAAAACTTCTGCACTGTATTCTGATTTGTCAATTCTCCATTGATTCAATTTTTTATTTTAGATGTAATATGCAATCTTGTTTTTTCAATAGAAAACTGATTCCGTTTGTCTTGTTGCCTTATAATAATTTCTTTAGCAAAATTAAATACAGAACCGAAACTGTTCATCATTTCGATTTTATTTTACGGTTTTTCTGCAGTCTATCACCGTCCTATTTTTCTTTTCAAAATTTTTGACTTTTCATTTTAAATTCTCTTTTAAATCAGTGTTTATTTTTGAAATTGTCTCATTTGGCTGTCTTCAGCTTTGATTCTCTAAGAGATAGAGTTTCAATTCTCTAACGTATCATCTTCTATCTCTAAGTGTTTTAGAAAAGAAAAAAAAAAAGAAAAAAAAAACAGATTGCATGATAAACACATTTTCCCTACAAAAAACAATAAATAGAATGAGTAAAAATTAGTGCACGCATAATTCTTGAATATTAAAAATAGAGTTTAAATAGCATTTTACTTTTATTTCTTTTCTTTCTTAAAAATGACATTTTTAGAAAAATAAATTAACATTATTGTTTATTCTTTTCATGCTAAGGAATTACTTTTTTTAATAAAAAAAGGAAACTTTAAATGAAAGAATAGGAAAATCATAAACAAAAATATAATCAAGTTCTTATTCCTTCGTTCTCTTTAAAATAAATGACATTTTTAAAAGATTAAAAACAAATTAACATTATTGCTTATTCCTTCATGCTAAGAAATTACTTTTCTTTTATAAAAAAAGGAAACTAAAAATGAAAGAATAGGAAAATCATAAACAAATATATAAGAATGTTCTTATTTCTTAGTTTTCTCTTTAAAAGACGGAAGGCCAAAAATATTAGAGAAATAAAATTTAGAAAGAGAGACCTTAAAGAGAAGGTAGTAAGTTGAAGAGGGATTGAAAAAGGAGGAACATATTAGCACAAAAAATGGCAGTCATATTATGCTTTTTAAAATATTTAAAAAATGGCATAATCCAAAATTATATCATATTTATGAAAGAAATGTTCATAACACCTTTTAAAAAACCCACTATTTTATCACATTTTGTAAAATTGCTACAAGAAGACGAGTGGATGCGGGAGGTGAATTTGTTATGAAAGAAATTTATGTTCAATATTTTAACCAAAATCGAATGGGTGGCTAAAATGTTATTTAAAAAACAAAACAAAAACGAGAAAGGGTTTAGAAAAATAATTTGTTATGAAAAAAATTTATGTATAATTTTTTAGTACAAAAATCGAATGGGCGGCTAAAATGCTGTTTAAAAAACAAAACAAAAACAAGAAATAAAATAAGAAAGGTTGAGGAAAATAAATTTGTTATGAAAAAATTTATGTTTAATTTTTTAATACAAAATTCCAACGGGTAGCTATAATGCTGTTTAGAAAACAAACAAAAATAATAAGTATTTGATAAACATTTTTCTTGAGATAACATTTAAAAATCAGGCTACATTTTATAGTATTTGAAAAGTGCTTTATTTTTAAAAACATATGTAAAAAAAAGTAGATTACAAAACAAGAAAACCATAGGGAAAATCCTTAAAGATTTAATATAAGAACACTTAGTCAATGGATTTAGCATAGAAAAAGTATTCCGATCCGTATCCTGAACATAAAGTTTTTAAAACTCATGTTACCTGATGTAGCTTCAAATACTCCTCCAGAGATTTTGAAAATTTGGGTCTTGTTTGGAGAGACAGTTGATTAACTTACAATATTGACTTCAAAAAATTGAAAGGTTTATCAAAGAACCTATTTTTGGATTCCAATAATTAAATAACCAAAAACAAAAACAAAAAAAAGAACAAAATGGTGATTGTCATTCATACACATTTGTTCTTGAAACTTTTCAGAGAGAAATTATTTTTATGACAAATAAATATTTTAGTCCAAAATAGATTCATTCTAAGAAACATCTAACAAAAAGAATTTCAAATATCAATCTACTTAGATACAAGCACGACTAATTGACACATCAATCACGTAATTAAATAAAGGCATGCTTAGGGCAGATATTTATTGAATAATTTTTTAAAGAAATTAGAATGATATATATTGAAAAATCATGAACTAGAAAAGAAATTCATAAGGTTGCTTTAAACGGATCAAATATAATTTCAATTTATAATAATTTAGGAAATAAAAGTTTATTTACGAAACGAATGATACGATACGTACGGAAACTCACCTGATCAAGACGCAAAGATAGGTTGCATTTGTAGCACTTTAACGTCTATGCCCTTGGTTTTGCCAGGGACAAAAATGACATTTTCTGCTGCCCCACTCAGAAAAAACAACCATGCATAAGAATCAAAAGAATTAAATAATCCAAATACTCCATTTATATGGTATTTAAATGAATGCAGTTTCAGTTAAAATTTAAATAAAAAAAAATCAGAACTTTATAAATATTTGGAGCAAAATAGTAAAAAAAACGACATAAATTAGAGGCAAAACACACAGCAACAAAATCCCACGAAATAGCCTTAACAAATGTAATTGGTTTCAATAAATAATTGCCTAAATATTTTTTTAGTTTGAGTAAGACATTTTAGCAAACACAACTAGCAGAAGGTTTTAAAACATTCATTGCAAGAATAAAATAAACTAAATCAGTAAAAGAATGGACAGTGGGCACGTTACTTGTACATTATGGCTGTAGACGAGAAGCTGCTGCCAAATCAAACAATTAGAAAGCACAGAAAAGCTAGGCTAGGTTGATCAATAAGGGGAAAACTTGTTCAGGTCACTTAATCCACGAGAGAAGGAATTATTTTACTTCAAAATTGCAGCTTGAAAGTCATACATTATTTATTTCTATTATTGTTATCATTTTATCCTGAATAATATGCAGAGTTAAAATGTGCAATGAAGATTCAAAGCAACAATAACGCACAAATTGTTCTTCAAATTTTAACTTTTGAGAACGATTTGTTTGGAAAGTGAATGAAGTTAAAAAGTTATAAAATGAGACCTATACCTTTCCCCGTAGAATTTATAGCTGATATGGAGCATGCAGAAATCCAGACACTAGCACTAGTGAAGCACCAAGAGATCAGAAGCAAATTTTCTAGTCATAAAAGTTATTCAGTACGGAAACTTACTGTTCTTGAGGTAGATGGTTGTCGGTTCCTCTCTTGAACCAGCAACATCCTCAGCAATGCTTTCAAGTGGTTCTATTTGGCTGTCTTTAGCAACATCCAACGAAGTAACCAGATTATCACCCTGGAAACCATAACCATGTTACATATGATGGGAGATACGAAATTCATGAAACCATGTCAGATTTTTAATGTTATTCGCATTCATTAGCTTATTTAATGAAACATTCAATATAGGAAGATTGACCAAGTTTGAAACACTCCATTTTGGCTTAGATAGTGTCCTTCCGAAGCAACACAATACTGAAAAGTTAGGTCAAGGAACAGAGTTAAGGCCTAACAAATATTTGCCATATTCAAATCAAATATCATGTTTCAAATCCTGTCACTGAAGTCATTCGGTTGCTCTGCAAAATAATTTTCTCGAGATGTTTTAATCCACAAAGGTTTACTGCCTTTTTCCAGTTACGCCCTAACCACAGCTCTTGTAAATTGGTCAAGTTTTGTATATTTCCGTTGCCTAAAAAGCAATGTTGGATCTTCAATCACAAATACGATTATCCAAAATTTTGTGAAAAGACATGACAGATGTGAGAAACAAACAGAACTCTTATGTAATTACTTCTTCGGGAGAGAACGATTAAGCCTTTTTGTTTCGCCATTTGCCTTGCCGTTTAATTGCACATAAAGAACACTGTATGAAATATGGTAAAGCATGGATGCTCATATATTCACTTCATTATTATATATCTACGAACACTATCTGTAGAAACGGCTCTTTCTAGAAACTATACATAAAATCCATATTGTAGACTAATTGATACAACTGAGATTAAAACAAAAGATATAGAGAGCAAACCTGCGGTCTAGTGGAACCAAGCTCAAGAATCCGCAACTGTTGAAAATGACCTAGCTCTTCCATTTCAGCAACTTCATTCATAGATACATAAAATTCCTTCAGTGAATTGGAGAAAGTCATGTAACGAAGAGATTTCATTGAAAGAAACATCAAATACCTAAAGCCTCTTGAATATGCTCGCATCAGGTATTTTCGTCATTTTATCGTCTCTAAGATTAAAGTCATATAAAATAACGAAGATAAAAATAGCACGGTCTTGCATTAGTCTGGATCATCGGGCTACGTTTTCGATGATGTGATTAATTGAAAACAATCACCGAGCGACGTAAGAATATAGATATAGCTTTAGGACTCACACTGTACACATTCAGACAGCAAAAGAAACAAAGCGAAAATAGCTCTATAAAACTGCAATGCGAAGCAAGATTCCGCCAATTCTGGAACACTTCTCTAAAACTGAACGCGACCGAAGTGAACGATTGAATACCTCGAGACCTGACATGTGCGTTCCAGCGAGAAAGCGATTCAGCCGGTAGCATCATTGATGAGGTTCTGACGAAGAGAGACCTTCTTCAAGTTCTCGACCTCTCTAATCCGAGAATCGCGTTAGGACTCACACTGTACACATTCAGACAGCAAAGAAACCAAATATCTCTATAAAACTGTAATGCGAAGCAAGATTCGGCCAATTCTCTAACACTTTTCTAACACTGAACGCGACGAAGTGAACTATTGAATACCTCGAGACCTGACAGTGCGCTCCAGCAAGAAATCGATTCAGCCATAGCATCATTGATGAGGTTCTGACGAAGAGAGAACTTCTACAGGTTCTAGACCTCTCTAATCCGAGAATCGCTTTAGGACTCACACTGTACACATTCAGACAGCAAAGAAACCAAATATCTCTATAAACCTGTAATGCGAAGCAAGATTCGGCCATTTTTCTAACACTATTCTAAAACTGAACGCGACGAAGTGAACGATTGAATACCTCGAGACCTGACAGTGCGCTCCAGCGAGAAAGCGATTCAGCCGTAGCATCATTGATGAGGTTCTGACGAAGAGAGAGCTTCTTCAGGTTCTAGAGCTCTCTATCCGAGAATCGCTTCAGGACTCACACTGTACACATTCAGACAGAAAAAGAAACCAAATATCTCTATAAAACTGTAATGCGAAGCCAGATTCGGCCATTTCTCTAACACTTTTCTAAAACTGAACGCGATGAAGTGAACTATTGAAGACCTCGAGACCTGACAGTGCGCGCCAGCGAGAAAGCGATTCAGCCGTAGCATCATTGATGAGGTTCTGACGAAGAGAGAGCTTCTTCAGGTTCTAGACCTCTCTATCTGAGAATCGCTTCAGGACTCACACTGTACACATTCAGACAGAAAAAGAAACCAAATAGCTCTATAAAACTGTAATGCGAAGCAAGATTCGGCCATTTCTGGAACACTTTTCTAAAACTGAACGCGACGAAGTGAACGATTGAATACCTCGAGACCTGACAGTGCGCACCAGCGAGAAAGCGATTCAGCCGTAGCATCATTGATGAAGTTCTGACTAAGAGAGAGCTTCTTCAGGTTCTAGACCTCTCTAATCCGAGAATCAAAACTCGAAAGTCGATTTTCCGTCAGGTCCAATTCCGTTAAACTCGAAGGCAACTCGGATGTAGTCGAGATCGTGGACCACAAAGCTTGTGAGATCGAGAATCGTATAATCGAGATCATCCGCCTCTGATTCAGCTACAGCGTCCATGCAAAACCTAGAAGCTTGAAGCTGAAGCTTGTTTAGCAGAGAAATTGAGGTTGAGGTACTGCTTGTGCTCAATTTATGGAATTCTGACCGTTATGCGTCACGAAACGATCTCTTGGTATTTAAACACTGGATCAGGCCTGATGTTTGGGCTCGAGGCCCAATTTGAATGATGGGCTTTTTAAAAACTGATCCAATACAAGCCCACAACTATGTTTTGAGTAGACCCATTTAATAATCATTTAGGTTTTTATTATTTGTCTTTTAAAATTGTATTTATTTTCAATTTTTTCTAAATAAATTTCATCTTAAATAAAGATTAGAAATAATAATAATGATGATAATAATAATTTGCTTAAAAAAATTTCTTAGTGCTCAAAACTTTATTTAATTTATAGACTTATTTTTAAAAATTAAAAAATAAATTTGTTACCTAGTCTAATATTTCATTTCTATTTTCATTTTTTTTTCACGACTTATTTAATTCTAATTCATTAAGAAAATAAAAACAAAATCTATATTTTCAAATTTTGGCCTGTTTTAAAAAATCATCATTTATAAATATTTGTAGGTTAGATAATTTTTTAAAATTCAACCAATTTTCAATTCATATTTTAATTTAATGTCAAATCTTGATGCAATTTCTTTTTAAATTAATTTTTTTCCCTTCTTGCCATCCAAGCTATGGAGGTTTCTAAGAAACATCCAATCATATAATTAAAATATATTCTCCATAGATATGAAATAAAATTAAGAATATTTATTTTATTCGCATAAATAAAATTAATTGACTTAAATTAATTTGAATGGTTCAATCAATAATACTTTCAATTTTTTTTTTTTTTTGAAATACAAATAAAAATAAATTCAAGTAATAACATTATTATAAGATTTAAAAAGTATAAATACAAATACAAGGATATTCTTTCTTTGATATTATTGTCTTCCTTGTTTTTTTAAATGATTTTCATAATTGTTTTTATTTATTTATTATTATTATTATATGTTACACATACAGACAGGTGGTAAGTCAATATCAAACAGACCACTAAGATTGGGAATACCAACTATTTTTAATTAATTAATTATATATATATATATAACAAAAAAAAAAACTAAGAAATATGTTTTAAAATATAGAACAGCGACTTGTGTTTCACGAGGCACACCTTGAATTCAATTAAATTTGTAGTGTTAGTTGGACATATTTGCTTACATTCTTTTTAAGAAATTATTAAGAAGCCATACTTTAATTGTTTCAAACTAGAATTAATTAATTACTTTTAGGTAAGAGGTATTGAGTTCATTCTAATAATTCACTATTTATAAAAATTATAGTTTTTAATGGATACGATCTTGGGAGAGTCTTGTTATTTATCCTCGCTTTTAAGAGTGAAAACTATCAACTGTTAGGAATCACGGATCCCCACAATGGTATGATATTATCCAATTTGACCATAATCTCTAGTGCGTTTGTTTTAGGTTTCTCAAAAGACCTCATACGAATAGAGAGATAGAGTGTTTCCCACGGATAAATTGACGATCTTCCACTAAATTAACCAACGTGGGACCCACTCCTAATAATCCTCAACATCCACACATACCAACACAAGTTAATTCATCATGTTTTGTCCTCACTCACATTCATTGTAAAAAAATTCTTAAGAGGTTATTCAGTATAAAATTGCTCCAACAAAACATACTTAATCATAGAGTTCTTCGGATTAAGCTACGGAGAAGGAATTTGCAACTTGTTGGTATAAATAGTAATTTTCATTTGCTTTCAGCCTTTTTTAGCCATCTTATCCTTAGGATTGCTCTCATTTGGATGTGATCTTGGTTCATTCATGCGTTATTTCTTTATTCGGATGCCACATTTACACACTATACGAACACGAATATCGAGAAAACAAGAATTTTGAATGAACGAGTAAAGATAAAGTGATATTCATATATGAATGAATATTTTATAATGGATAAATGTAGCAAATTCTAAAGTGAAATGCAAAAATCAAAAAGGGTATGTGACAATTGATATATTTAATTTAAAAAGGTAATATTATATGCTTATTGATTGCCTTCTTTTTCCTCCTCCATTTATTAGTGAAAAGCTATAGGAATATATAGCTAATGGAGATTGCTTTATAACAAGTTTCTACAAAAGTTTGACTTTGGGTTCCTCTTTTGAGGCATGCTTGGCTTTGTAATGATGATGTTCCGAATGGGTAGCAGATTGGTTTCTCTTTAGCCTGAAAAAAGAAACCACTTTCATGAAAGACCCAACTTGTTATCCAAACTTGAATTCTTCAATAATTATATCATAATTTTGCATTAACAAAGCTAAAGTGTCCTCCTTCATCATTGTGATTGACTCGGCCCTGACCATTCGAAGGGATTCTCTAAAGTCTTCAGACAATTCGGAGACCATCTGGACGATAGTCAGTTGGGCATTATCTAAGTCTTCGGTGCGTTCCTCCATTTGAGCAACAGAACCCGTCGAACAATCCTCATGCTTGAAGATACTAGCTCTTGATGCCTTGTCTTCTAGGACATCGACCCTAGTCATTAATTCAAGGATAGGCATTGTTTAAAGGTGGCGTGCCATCTCGTCGAACCTGTCGGCTTTAGCGGACATCTCATTCATGCGAGATTCCAAAAGTCTTATTCCGTCGTGAACTTCACTCATGCAAAGTAACTGTTCTTTGATTTTAGCTAATCGATCAGTATGGGTCTTGTCCAGTTGTTTCGCAGCGAGCATATTTGCGTAATGCCTTCCTAGGAGCCGGATGTAATTTCCTTTTTTTTAGATTAGTTTCAAACCACTTTGGTTAAAATGAAATTAATTATTGACATTCTAGCTTTAAAATGAAGATACAACGCTCACAAATCTAGGGAACAAAATAGAAAAAATTGACTAAACTAGGTCAGTCATACTAAACCAAACGAAACCGATATAAGTGAATCAAGTCAACTAATTCAATTGAATTGGAGCTACAAGGGTATTAATGTAGCTTGTGTGAGAACAAATGTACCTATATACTTACCTATAATTATTTAAAGTTTTGAAATATTTAATAAGCGTATTTTTTTTTAGATTTAAAAAAAAAAATTTTATATATATGTTCGACTATAATTAAAATTTTAAAAGTTTATGAATATTTTTTTAATTTTTATTAATTTATCAAAAAAAATGAAGAAAAAAAAAAGCGTCTGGGATCTCTCTCCTCCACTGATAAAAATATATTAATTTATTTATGAACAGAACAAAAACAGACTTTAATAGTGAGGGTGGCCCGGCCAACCAAACGGTCCTGCACCCATTTTCTTTATTATTTAAAATTAAATTTTTTTATAAAGAAATACATATATTTTTAAAAAAATAATAATAACAATAAATAATACATATCTATACTTAGTGGGGAAGCGAGAAAGGGGTAGTGGCGCTCTCTCCTCTCCTATTATTGTAGTCGTTCCAATTCAATTTTTCAAAATGGATTTTCTTTTCTATTATTATTTATAAAACCATAACAAGTAAACGACGTCGTTCCACTGGCCGAAGACTTAAAACTTAAACCACCCACTATGACAGATGACTTGTTATTTTACTATAAAAATATTAACTACTTCCAATTTGATTTCTTCATAAGTAATCATTGATATTTGTTTGGACGGAGTAGAAAAAATAAATTATAGTTATTGTTGTTGTTGCAGCATCAAAATTTTAGGTGAGAAGTTGACTGTGCCGTATTATTATATTAGGAGACACACGAATAAGGTCAAGTTATAATAAGAAAATAACGAAAATTAAAAGACAAAATTATTAGTTATAAATTCATACAAAATTTATAATCTGAACAAGCTCAACGAGATATCATATCGTCACCCAAATATCAAATATATTCTCGTTCCCTCTATAGTTTGAACTTAAAGAAAGAATATATATATATATATATATATATACTAGAAAATTTTAAGAGCTACAAAAACAACTTTATAAAAAATTAACAATTAATATTTATACCAACAAAATGATCCTGTTATATTAAGAATTTGAAATAAAAATAGAATTAGAATCGAAGGTGTGTATTCTCATTGATATTCATAACTTTTAAATAGGATACAAGCTAGCAACTAATTAAATATTGATAATAGAATAAAATATACTATAAATCAAATTATAAAGGAAATAATATTAAGATATAATATCTAAGATATATTCCATAAATAATATATATTCCAAATATTATATCTCAACATGTTACTTGATTATCTTTAAAACGACTATCACGGTGATTTTAACAACAAGTAAAATATAATCTAATTAAATATTGAGAATAAAATAAAATATACTATAAATCAAATTATAAAGTAAAGAATATTAAGATATATTCTATAAATAATATATACTCAAAGTATTATATCTCAACGTGTTACTAGATTATCTTTAAAACGACTATCACAGTTATTTTAACATGTTTTGTCTTCGCTCACATGCTATTTAGAAGAAAAAAAAAATTAACTGCTCCAAATTAAGTGGTGAACTTTGGAGTTTTTATAATTGAGCCACCGAAAAGGAAAATGCATATTGCTAGTACTTTTTTTAAAATGATGTGATTTTTAGAAATTAATTATAGAGCTTCGAAATATTTATGAGAGGAGACAACAATATGATTTAGCCGTTGAAAGATGAGTGAATCTCTTCATCTCACATTAATTTTCTGCGTTTGAACGATGAAGCAAAATTTATATTTTAACTCCCAAACTGATACCTACTTCTAAATTAATTATATTACTATTGGAAATTTATATTTTTTTAATTATTGGAAACAAAATAATGTATACATAACAAATATTAAATTCTAATCATAATAATTTAATATAAGAAAAAAATAATATATAGTTGAAATAATGATAGTAATGACAATTTAATAAAATTAATTGATTTTCCCTGATAGTTACAAGCATGAAAATAAAACAAACTCATAGCCAGCTGATCATAAATAATTCACGTAAGGATATAAAATGAGAGAATTTTAGTACAGAGGCTGTACTGAATATTTAATACTATTATAAATAGCAGTAAGTCAGAAGAAAGACATATTTATAATTATTATGCAATTAAATGTTTTAAAATTATTATATAAAAATTTAATAATACCAAATATTTTGTATCCTTTAATAATTTAACATTTACAATAATTAAAATTTGGTAGTTTAGTACATGAACGAACCGATATTATATTCGAATAAAAATAATTATAAAAAATAGAAAATCATGATTAAAAAATGTTTAAAAATTAATAGTCGTTCTTTCGATGTCTAGGTATATTTGATTATGAACATTTTAAATATTTTTTAATAAACAAAAATAATTAGCTTGAGGTATTATTTTTACACGTGTCAGTTTGTTAGGTGCTGAAATTCATTCCTACAAGTGCCAACTTTCTCAAGCTGGCTGCTGAGGGCGGCGTGTGGTATAAATCGCAGGGGACATTCTCCAAGTTTATATTTATTTATTTATTTATTTATTTGATAGGCTTTTATATTTTGTACGCGCTTGCATTGCATTTAAGCTGGAAAATGAAAGGAGTTGGGACCAAGTTTCTCCCCTATTGAATTTTGATATTAAATTTTGCTTCCAAGTATTGAAATTATTAAGTAAATTGGAAATAATTTAATTTATTGCATTTGTTAATATTTTAATTCTAAGAAATTAATTTTCATTTGAAATGGATTTCTTTCATTTGTTAATATTTTTCTATTTTTATCCTTATTTATGTTGAAGAGATGTGTGGGACATTGTGAAGGACGTGAATTGATGGAGAAAGGGTAACATATCTTTTGCCTTTTGGCTTACCATTTTCATATAAATTCATAATAAATTTAAGAAAAAATGAAAAATAAAAACAATTATCATAATTTGTACTCAATAACATAAAATATTGTATGATATTTATTTTATTCAAGATTACTAAAAAAAAACTTGCTTTTAATTTTAAAATTAATTTGTATGATATGAAAAT